GTTGCCGAGAAGAAGAAGGCGGAAACAGAGAGGGATGACGCACTGCAGAAGCTGCGGGTAGGTGCTAACTCTTCTGATCCTTCGAAGAAGAGAGAACTTGGTTCTTATTTGGGTACTGGAGAAGGACAGTTAGTTCGAAGTGGAGAATATCGTGGTTCAGGAGTGCTTGTCTCTTCTTTAAGTAATTGGACTGCTAAGTGTGAATCACTTGAGTTAGAGAAGAAAAAAGCTGAATCTGAACGTGATGATGCACTACGTCGTCTTAGTGCATTTGGAAGGGCTGGTGTTCAAGAATCGTCAATGTTGATTTGGACTCGTCACAGGTGTGGTTTGGGTGATAATTGGGCTCCTCTTGTTGCTCATTACCGTCAATTGGTGGAAGATGTGTTTGTGATGGAAGTTTGTCGGGCCACTGGTTCTCCTTTACATTGTGTAAAGGTTATAGAGTTTGATAGTGGAGGTGCTTTAGTTGATCTTGAGGTGTGTCACAATTTACGTCCTGGTGATATTGATACTCTTCTACAGGGGCATTTGTTTTCTGTAATGTCTTCGTTACTTCGTTTGGCTTGTTCTAGTACGTCACCATCACATTCCGTATCTGGTGGTGAAGTATCTTTAATAAGTCAACAATTAATGGAAATGAATGAGCGGTTACAAAAGCAGCTTCTCTCTGCACAATCTGAGTTGGCTACGTATCGCCGAGGTCAACCTAAAAAAAGTGATGGTACCAAAGATGAAAATTCACTCTTTAAAGAGCTTATGATCTTTAGAAATCGCCGTGCTCTTGCTAATAGTATTCGTGGATTAGAAGATTCATTGGAGCCTTCTTTTGGTTTAAGAGAAGTTGTAGACCCCAAGTCGCCTGTTGATCCGGCTGTGCTACGGTGTGAACCAGTTTACTCTGTGACACTTGATGAGTACCGTGATGTTCTTCAACAGCTTAGATCCCTCTGCTCTGCAGGGATGGAAGACGAGGATGGTGGCACTCGTCTCTGGAATGAACATGTTTTGGCAAGAGTAGAAGAAGAACGTCGGTTTACTAATAAACTGAGTCAGTTAAATCCACAGTTTCCTCAAATCCGTGATGATGAAGTATAAAGATTAAAAGGGGATAGTAAATAGATGCGATGGAAAAAAAAAATGGACAGTGGTTTTGCTTATTTTTTCTTTTACTTCATCATGTATGCTGATGATATATGCTTTTTTTCGTCATTTTTTTTTTTGTTGGTAAATTCGATAGCGAAGAAAAGAACGTTTTAATAGACAAAAAAATAGAAAAACTCCTTAATGTAGAGTTAAAAGTTGAATATTGTGTGCTGGTTTATGTATATTTGTACAAGAACCCAAAATACGAATAGTAAGTGGAAGAATAATGGGAATTGTGTTTTCGCTTTTTTTTTTTCCTTATCATTGAATCGAACATATGTTGTTGTATTTTTTTTTTTTTCGTTATGTTATTGTTATTATTATTGTTCTTCTTTTTCTCTTTATATATCTTTCTTTTCTTGAAGTGAAAGGGTGAAGGAGAGAATGGAGGAGACGCGAGCACCCGCTCAAGGTCGTCTTTTGCGAACAAGAACTGCTGTTGCTAGCACGACTAGTACTACTACTACTGTGAAATCGAATTCCACCACATCCAATGCTACAGAAAGACAGCGTCCAGTGAATGCAACTGGGAATGCTGTTTCTGCAACTACTTCTTCCTTTGCTTCTGCTGCTACAGTAAAGGATGCAACGATGAAAGAAGAAAGTGGGGATGAAAATGAAATAGTCACACTACATCTTCTCCTTCAGGAGCGTGATGAACAGGTATCTTTACTTGAGGGTCTTCTTAGCGAAAAACAACTTCTTGTACGACATGATGAGATACTTGAAGAACGTATACAACAATATGAGGAACAACTGAGTAAATTGGCTTCTGTTGTGAGAGTAGGGAGTCCTGCTACTTCAGCATTAGAAAAGGATGCTTTATCTTCAAAAAAGGGTAAAGATGGTGCTGTAATCTCATCATCTGGTACAGCAAACAAGAAAATGGTTTCTATTCATGATATAATAGATGGAGTTCAAAAATTGCGTTATGATAAGCAACGAATGGAGGTTGATCTTGTAAGAAAAGAAAGAACATTGGAAGTTCTTCAATCACAGTTAAAGAAGTTGCAAGAAGAGACCAAGGTAGGGGAACTACCTGTAAAGAATAATCCTTCTAGGCTTGTTGCAAGTCTAGTTTCCAAATCCTCAACTTCAAGCGAGGAATTCGAAACGGAAACAGTAGGAGAACGTAAATCTCGATCTGATCTTGAAAAGAAATTGTTAGAGATGCAGAAAAAACAAACTCGTATGGAGGAGAAACTTTCTTGTTATCAAAAAGAGTATTATGCGGCACGAGAAAGTCTCCGCTCGAGAGAGAAAGAAATATTGGAATATCAGCGTAAATATCGTGATTCTGCTGTATCTAGCCATGGAAAACAAGATCAACTTATTGCTTCACATTGTTGGAAAGATTTAAAAAAGATGATATCTACACAATATCGTCATTTTTTTCGTGGGGATGAATGGGTACAACTTGTAGAGAAAAGACCAGAGGCTATGCGTACAAGTATTCTTAAGGATGTCTCATTAACTTTATGTGCACCTCATGGATTTGTATCAATTTTAGAATTAAAAAAGGGACCTGAAATGGTTGTTGCTGTAGAGATAGTTGTAAAACATCCTTCTTCTATTCGAGAAAAGCAAATAGAATTGCTTTTAATGGATTGTCCCTTTACTGAGGTTAAAGATCTACTTAAACATAGAAATGATCCAAAGGATGGATGGGATCTAGTTCAAGAAGAATTACATGAGACTCGTAATGCTCTTGTAAAAAGAGAAGAGGAGATGTTAATATTACAAGAGAAACTTCAACGGTTGGAATCAACACTGGAAGATGAAATTAAACAACGCGATACAGATGATCGTTTAATTCATCAGGCTCTTGATGAAACGGAAGAAACTGTAAAGGCGATGTATGCTGAAATTGAGAATCAACGAGTTAAAGAGAAAGAATTGCAGGCACAACTCCAAAAAGTAACGGAGACGTTAGAAGAACGAGAGAAAACGATTAAAGATCTCACAGTGCAGTTACAAAAATCTAAGAATGAAATGAAACATCAACAAGAAAGCTATGTTAAACAATTAGAAGAATCTCATTCATTATTACAACAACAAAAACAATTGATTGTAAAGACAAAAGAGAAATCATCTGTGGTAACTCATACTCTCTTGGTGAAATGGGATGAAAAGGGTGAGAAAACGCCTCTCGCTTTGGATTCTAAGAGTAAAGATATGTTGGGAACTCTTCTGCTTGGTTCCATTACTACTACACTTACTCCTCTTGTTTCGATAGCAACAAAAGCTATTCCATCTAAACTTCTCTCCCTTACTTGTACTGGTTGTGAAATTCAAGCAGAAATTCAATTGAATTTGTATTCCACAACAGAGGGCGGTGCTGAGCGTGTGGGGGAGTATATACGTCGTTGTCGAGCCTCATCTGCTGTACTCTTTCTACAGGAATTACGTGATCAGAATCTTTTGGTGGAAAGTCGTACACGTGAGATTCGACGACTCGCACAAGAATTGAAAACAGTAACGGATGAAGTGGAACAATTAAAGTTGCAATTACACACACAATGTGAACAAACACAAGAGGTAGAAAAACGTCATTCGCTTGCAGTAAAAGAACTTTCACAGATTAGTACGGCACTCGGAATAGAGAGTAATAGTTCTTCTTCTTCTGATGGTATTGCTATTGCGGTTGCTGCTCTTGTGAAGCGAATCACCGCGGTAGAGAAGGCGAAACGAGAAGAAAAACAACAGTGGCATCAACAGGAAAAACAACAAGAAGAAAAACAGCAAGAACATCAACGGGAACTAGAAGAACTACGAGAAACCCTACGGAAATATAAATCTGATGTGGAAAAGACTAATGCAGCTCTGAATACATTACGTAGTACACATCAACGTCTCGTAAAGGAGTCTGCAGCGCGTAAAAAGACACGTGATGTACTGCGAGCCCAATTCGAAGAGCTGCAAAAAACAAGAGAAGTAAATCCCTCGAAAGACGCTATTAATAAAGATGATAATGATAATGATAAGGATGATGATGTGGAGAATGATGTACTCTCCTCACTACGTTCAGCATATAGGGCATATGATGAAATGTTAGAAAAACAGGAGAGTGCGAAGAAGAAGTGGCTTGAAGTGGAGAAATCACTCCGGGAAGAATTGAAGAATGGTAAAAGTGAGTTTGCACGGCTTCAGTTACAGTGTACTAAACTAGAGAAGGAATTAGAGAAGAAAACAGTTGCAGATACGGCTTCTATAGCGAAATTTGAGCAAAGTGATGTGGAGTACCGTAAGCTTATTAACTCTATTAATACAGAGAAGGAAGAGCTTTCTACGCGGGTTATGGAGTTAACACGGCAGTGTGCCACACTGGAGAGTGAACGAAGTAAACTTCAATCCGAGATGGCATCTAGAAGTGAGCGGGCAGAGGAAATGATGAAGCAGTTAGTGCATGAAGAAGATGTACGTCGTGAGTTGGAAAAGGAAGTGGGGAAGTTACGCCGTTTAAAGACTACAACCACAACAACATCTACATCTACATCTACCACAACACGAACAACCCTACTTGAGATGAAGCGATTACGTAAATTCTGTTTACAAACATTAAAGTTACCATTAACAGAAAAGGAACAGAGTGTAGGGGATATTGTGGCATGTATGGAACAACATTATGATAGTGTATTGGAAGAAAAGGAACAATTGGCGGCGGCTCTTCTTTCTATGCATACAGCTATACAGTTATTAAAACAATGTGTATCGGCAACGGAAGAACATAAAGAAAATCCTATTCGCCGAACACGTGCCTCTGCTGGGAATAAAACTATTGGAAATAGTAATAATAATAATAATAATAATAATAATAATAATAATAATAATAATAATACCACTACACCTATGAATATAAATGGGAATACAGGTGGTGGTGCTGTATTGCGTGGATTTGGCCGTTCACTGAGTTACAGTAGTGGTTTACCACCGCCGTTGTTATCCGCACGTGCACCTCGTACGGGTGGTAGAAAGTCTATTACACCCAATACACTTCAACGAATGGCAAGTGGTCAACTACATCTTCAATCCCCACAAACACAACGGGGAAAAGAAACACAAGAAAAAGAAAAACTAGAAACACCACGAAAACAGGAAACATTAACTGCGAAACCAACGGAGTTAGCATCTAGTGCTGCAGAAGTAGTGTACTTTGCACAGCTGCTCGTTAGTGTAGTAACGTACTGGAGAGAGAATGAACGACAACACAATACACGATTTGAAGATGTATCAAAGAAATGCCGAGAGTTATCTGAAAAACTTAGCCGTACGGAACATGCCTTAATAGAAAAACAAGAACAACAAGAAAAAGAAAAGGACAAGAAAGAAAAAGAAGAGCAAAGCATGAAGAATAGAGTAGAAGATTTTAGTGCCCGTGAAGAAGAACATGAGAGTTTTCTCCGTCGCAGTCGTGCCCACGCCCTATGTGTGGTATTATCTGTAAAAGATCATTTACACGATGCGTTAGCCGCCCTGCAGCCCATCGCTGCTGTGATGAGAGACGACACTACTAACACGACTACTACTATTACTACAACTACAGTCACCAGCAGTACTACTTCTACCACCGCACGGGGGCGGTACACTACAGACATCACGCACGGTATGCGAATGGCGGAGGAGTCGGTGGTGTATGCACTCAAACGTATTGTGAACGCCGCCGGCACTGTTTTCTCCACCCGTGAACGGTCGGATGTGGAGATGAAGCGGGGCGCGGAGTATTTTACAATTCCAGAGGCCTGGCGGGGCACCGCCTCCCCCCGCACACCGCTGCAGTCCACACCCCTGCGACTCACGCAACAATCACAATCACTAAAGGGACTTGTGCCGCGGGATGCGAATCTCTCGCCGCCGTCGTCCAGTGAGAAACAACGAAGTGTTTCACTTGAGCGGGTTTCGGGATCCGTCGCTGGTTCGGGAGTGACGTGTGTGGATTACAGACAATATATGACTCGCGATGATCAACAGGTCATTCAACAGGCACTGCGAGAGGCCCGTCGGCGTAGACGATAGAGGCACACACACATACACACACACATATATATATGAAGAGAGAAAGAGAGAGAGAGAGTTCTCAATGGATACATGATTAAAACAAGAAGATCAAAAGGAACAACAAGAAGAGAAACTCAGAAAAAAAAAAAAATCCTTTGAATGTGTGTATATTGTACATTTTTTATTTAGAAAAAGTGGGGAAAAAAATAGAAGAAGAGCAGAAAAGGAAAGTGTCGTCTTTCTCTTTTTCTTTCTCTGTCTCTCTTTCTTTATTTGTATCAATTTGTTATATCAACTAAAAAGTGGACCGATCTATTTATCATTTTTATTATTATTTCTAAACACAAGAAAACATAAATGTGCACGACATCAAGAGAGAAAACAAAAAAAAAAAAAACAATTAATAGGAAGAGTACAGTTTAGTCAAAACATTGTCTCTTCTTTGTTTACCTAGATCACTTTTTATATGCTGTTTTTATTTATTTATTTATTTATTTTGTAGTTTTTCATCTGTATTTTCCTTTGGATTTTTTTTTATGTTTCTCGTTGATGTTATTATTATTATTATTATTATTATTATTATTATTATTATTTTATTCTCTGTATCACGTGTATGTTCAATATTGTGAATGTACACTTACTTGTACAATCAACGTATTGTTATATGTATAACTTACGATTTTTTCTTTTTTTATTTATTTACATATGTGTTTTTGCTTGTACTATAGATGGTCTCTGCACTCTGCCCTTGTACTTGTGTTGTCCATGGCAGTAAGTGAGAGCATAAAGAATTTGTGTGTACCTGCAATTATTCTTATTAGATTGGATAATATATCTATTATTACTATGCGCAAAGAGAAAGAAAAAAAGAAAAAGAAGAGAAAAAAAAAGATAACATGTTTTTTTTTATTGTTTTGACTCACCGATTCTTTCCTTCTCTTTCTCTCTATTTGTCTGTGCCTTTTCGTAATATTTATATATATAAAGAAAATAAGTAAATTAAAAAACAAACACAAACCTGATTCAGGGATTTATAGAACAAAAAAGAAAAAAGAAAGAAATAAAGAAGAAGTAAAGAAGAAACTCCCAAACACATTCTCACTCTTCTTCAGTCACTATTTCTACAAAACCCACACTCCATTTACCCACATACATTCATTCATTCATTCATACATACATACATACTCTACCGTTCATCATGATTCACAGTCCCCATGGTCACATTGAACTCATCATTGGACCCATGTTTGCTGGCAAAACAACTGAACTGATGCGTCGTGTGCGTCGTGAGTTGTTTGCCCGGCGATCGTGTTATATCATCAAACACTCCCGTGATGTGCGCTACAATCGTGAGAGTGTTTCCTCACATGATCGTCTCTTACTTGGCGCGACTGCAGCCGTGGCGGTGCTGGCGGATGTGGGAGATGCCTGGCAGTCGTATGATGTGGTGGCGGTGGACGAGGGTCAATTCTTCCCGGATGTTGTCGACTTCTGCAGTCGGGCGGCGGACGCGGGGAAGACGGTGATTGTCTCCGCGTTGGACGGCGACTACCGCCGCCAGCCATTTGACGGCATTTGTTCCCTCATCCCACTCGCGGAGTCGGTGAAGAAACTCAGTGCGGTGTGCATGGTCTGCCACGAGCGGGATGCCTCCTTCACCCACCGCACCGTCAGCTGCAGTGCGCGGGAACTCATCGGCGGCGCGGATATGTACATCGCCGCCTGCAGAATGTGTTATATCGAAAAGGAGAAGGAACAACACAGTATAGTAGCAGCAGCCGCAGCAGAGAAGGAAAAGAAGATGGAGGAACAGCCACAGAGTTGTGGAGATGTGGAGGATCGTAACATGCCGCAGGAGAAACCACAACAGAGAAAAGAAGAGAAGGCAGAAAAACAGAGAGATGCGGTGGGAGAAGAGCCCACAACGCCGGAGTTTAATACCGCAGCCGCAATGGAATCCCCCTCACCTGCTGTTATGAGCCGCAAACGTCCATCCGATGCCGTAGATGATAATACTTCAATAGATGCTGAACACCGGGCCGGAGTGAGAGCGCGAGTGGAGTTTCAGTAATAATAATAATAATAATAATAATGATTTCACCCTACCCCATTCCATTTTTGTTTTTTTTTCTATCCCCCCCCTCTCACTGTAATATATATTTATATATATATAAGACTTTCTACACATATCTGTCATGTATGTGTGTAGAATATCTTATATTCTTTTTTTTTTTTTAATGAGAACTTTTTGTTTTTATTTCCCTTCTTAATTTGGAATAATCACAGTGTTCTGGAGGGTCAGAAGTTTGAGAACCACGCCTTTATAGATGCAAACTGAAATGAAAGCGCTTTCAGCAGCAAAATAAATAAATAAATGAAGAAAAAAAAAGAAAATAAGAGGTTTATTGGAAAGAGAAAAGGAGAAAAAGAAAAAGAAAAAAGTTTCTTGCAAACCAATAACGAGAAAAGAAAAGAAAAAAAAAAACGAAAATAGAGAATAACAAACAAAACAGTTGAAGTGTGGAGGTGTTCGCTGCTTGTTTTTTTTTTTTTTTTTTTTTTTTTTTTTTTTGTTGTTGACTCTGTTTCTCTCTTTTCCAGGTCCTCATTATTTACTAACTCATAGAGGCATTTTTTGGTTATCAATTATTTTTATTACTTATAGATATACACGTATTTATTATTCCTTGTTTGGAAGTGCAGTAGGGTACGTCCCACATTACGGAGAAGAGGGAAATACATATATAAATATATATAGAGAGAGAGAACTATATAAAAAAAGAAAAAAAAAAGACCTGAAAACAAAAAAAAATAAAAGATTTTTTGAAGTTGTTGAAATACCCTTACCGTTTCCTTACCGTATATGTATATATACGTGTTTATTCTTCTCATCCTTCTCTTTTTTTTTCTTTTCCCATTCACTTGCGTGGTAGTGAAAATCATAAAAGAAAAAAAAAACACTGTTAACATTCTTTTTTTTTTTTTCTTTTGTTGTTGTTGAACTACATATGTTCTGTAGGTGGGGTAATACTTCCATTTCTTGTATTTCCTTCTTTAAGAAGGTAGTACATAAACAAATGGATTAATTGTGTTTCTTTTTTTTTTTGTCTTTTTCCTTTCTTTGTGATTCTATCATTTTATTTTTCTTCATCTTTTTTTTTTCTTTTCTTTTTCAAGCAAAATTGTTTCTCTTTTCCTTCTTGAACGTATCACTTGACCATTTCACTTAAAGAGAGAGTGGGGTGAGATACAAAGAAATTAAAAAAAGAAGAAAGAAAAGAGAATCAATAGAAAGTATTCAACGCTTTAATTCATATTCTCTCCTCATGTTAGGAAAACCACAAGTACGGGTTTTGGTGCGGTTTCGCCCTCTTAACGAGGAAGAAGTACAGAAACAACAGGAAGGAAGTCATGTTGAGGAAACTCCATGGATACAATATGATGAAAAGTCTGTTGAAATCATAGAACGTATTCCAGCACAAGTTGATGGTCTTTCTAGTCCATACAATAACTGTAATAATAACTGTAATAATAATAATAAGCAGAGTAATCATGATTGCAGTGATAATAATATAATGATTGCTACTACTACTACTACTAGTAGTAGTATTGCTTATATTAATGGTGATACTGAGGCTAGTGGAACTCCTGATGTTCAATCACAGACTACCACTGCACTCATTAGACCACGCCTAAGGAAAACTTTCACCTTTGATGATGTTCTTGCCGATTCCACAGATCAACAAGAAACATTTAAACATATTGGTGTACCTGTTCTATCGAATATACTGAAAGGATATAATAGTACTATTCTCGCCTATGGTCAAACAGGCAGCGGTAAAACACATAGTATGTTAGGACCTGCCGGTGGTAAACTTAACTGTTATTCACCAGATAGTTCATACTATGAATCACGTGGACTTATTCCACGAGTTGTGGAGGCACTCTTTAATTATTTAACAGATTTTAATCCAACTGAACGTACATGGCGAGTACGGGCATCTATGTTTGAAATTTATATGGATAATATTATTGATCTCTTTTGTTCTGGTCCACAGGCATCCGAGTATCGTATTCGTGAGGATACAGAGAGTAAAGGGGTGTATGTAGAATCTCTTGAACAGGTACACTGTATAGATGCTAAACAGTTATTAGAACTTGTGGGTAATGGTATACAAAGACGACATACATCCGCTACAGGATCTAATGATACTTCCAGTAGAAGTCATTTTATACTTTCTCTCTTTCTGGAACAAGAGGATATATTAACAGGTGGAACAAATACAGTAAGTCGTTTAAATTTTGTAGATCTCGCCGGTAGTGAAAAAGTTTTTCCCACACTAGCAGAAAGTGATCGTTTACGAGAGGCCCAATGTATTAATCTCTCTCTTGCGTTACTTGGGAATGTTATTCATCGATTGACTAATCCCAAACCGGGATATGTGCCCTTTCGTGATTGCAAACTCACACGTATCCTGCAGGACTCTCTTGGTGGAAATGCTCTCACTACACTCTTATGCCACGCCTCTACAGCAATGATGAATAGAAATGAAACTATAACGACTCTACGGTTTGCAGAATGGGCGAAAAAAATACGAAACCGACCACGTGTGAACAAAACAGCACTCACTCAACAGGAATTTGGATTAGATCATGCTTCTGCAGTAGTTCGTGCACAGCAGTTACAACTGCGTGGGCAGATGCCGAATGGACTCATAGAATCACAACGTCCTTCTTTAGATACTGTGTCTGGTATTGACACGATAGAACAACAAGAACTAGAAGAAGAAAATGAAAATGAAAAGAAAGAAAATTTACAGTCTATTATCGATGCTCTTATGAATGAAGTAATGGAACTCAAGAAGGAGTTAAATACAAAGGAGGAGGAGCTGCAGCACTCGTCTGAAACTGTGGAGTTCTACAAACAGCAATGTACTCTATTAAAACAGGAGTATGATGAAGTATGTGAACGCCACAAGGCGAGAGAGGAAAAACTTCTTAATATGTGTGCCTCCATGGATCAAGAACGAAAACGATTACTGGCGGAAATAGAAGAACTGCAATTTAACATCACATCTACAGGTCAATCCAACTGGAAGCCTATTGCTCCAGTTGTACACGTAGGGAACAGTCTGACACTGCAGGATTCCACAAAGAGTGAAAGTGGAGTTCCAGCCACAACCGTCGTACACCCGCTGAACTCCATCCATACAATTGTTATTCCAAAAAAAGGAAATCCAAACAAAGACAACAAAAGTGAAGCAGTGCCTCGACATACGGATCCTGTAGAGAATGTAGATCCTACTACTTCTTCAAAAGAGGGAATCCATCAGAATGATAATAAACTATTACAAACAGACGAAGAAAATACGAGAGACTTGAACGTCCAATTAGATACATTAGATCAACACTTAAAACAAAATAAAGAAAACCCTATAGATGACGTCAACACAGCAAGAGGAGGATTAGGAAAAAATCCATTACAGCAAGAACAACTAGCCTCATCTGACCATTTACTCCAGCAGGGAAGAAAACAAGTACATGCAAACACCATGACAGATCTCGCAGCCACAGAGCTGCAGCAACAGGAAGAACTGGCTACAGCCCAGCGTGCCCAGCAGGAGAAAGAACTGGTACATGCAAACACGATGACGGATCTCGCAGCCACAGAGCTGCAGGAACAGGAAGA